GGCCCCCCGCGATGATAGACAAGGCAATGATTGACAGGAATGTGTGAAGGTGAGCTGGGCTTGTTCAGATGCAAAAAATCCTATTTGCATAATTGGTAACATATACCCAGCAGCATATTCCAGGTAACCAGCTGGTAGACCTGGGAAGCACATGAAACGAGGGGTAGATGAGGAATCTGCTCTGGGGGTGGGGATTCATCAGATACGCTTGGCTCAGCTCCTTGGGCTCTGGTTCCATTTCCCGTGGCCCCGAGTCTGACTTGGCACAGAGCGTTCCTGGGGGCACATGCCAGGAATTAAGCCCATGTGAATGCCGCCCAGATAGAATCCCTCTTCTGCACATGTGCAGGCTTTGTTTGTGTAGCACATGCTGCAGAGGAACACTGCTGATTGTGCAAGAGAATGTCCAGGAGCATTCGCGGTCTCCCTCTCAGTTCAGCTCACTTCCTAAGCCAGAGGTGAGCATGGGGAAGAGGTCCAGTGAGCAGAAGAAAGCAGATTCCACAGGATCATCATCATTAAACCCCCTTTCAAACATTTTTGTTTCATTTATAGCCTGCCTTTCACCCAAGAATCCCAAAGTGGCACAATCCTTTTCCTCTCCATTTTATCTTCACAACAACCCTGTGAGGTAGGTCAGTTTGAGACTCAGTCCTGGCCCAAGATTGCCCAGTGAGCTGCATGGCCAAGTGGGACCTAGAACCCAGGCCTCCTAAGATCCACTCCAGCACAATAACCACTACACAACACTGTATCCCTTTAAAAATAAAACAAACAGCTACAAGCATCCTGGACAACAGTTTTAGAGCCGTGTGTCTCTTTCATTCATCTGTGGCAACAGTCACCAAAACTTTATATCCCTTGAGCATTGCCCTAAAGTAGCTGCTCTGGCAGGCGAACTGGAAGCATCCATTAGTTCAGAGTCTGGCTGGTGGAATTCTGGCTAGCTCAGCTAGGTGGAGCCAAATGACACCAATTCTTCAAGAACAGCCTCGCCTGCAGATTCACTTCTGAGCCCAGCTCAAGGTTCTACTTGCCTTGAAGGTCCCGATTGCTTTGGGACCCAAATATCTGAGGGAGAAGCTACTGACTGTACAATCCTGCCAATGTATTGGGGTCCTTCTTCAAGGACCTTTGCTTGGTGTGGTACACTATGTCTGTATGATGGAAAGGTTTACAGTTCTTACAGGGGTATGAAAGTGTGAAATCAGGTAAGGGCACAATCCACTGAGGCTGCAAACCTGGAGGATTGTGGGCAACCTAAGCAGGGTGGGAGAAGTGCCATGTATGAAAAGTCATCAAACTTTTCCTACACTACAAGGCAGCATAGGACTCTAACCACAGTGCTTTGGCTGGGGAGACAGTTGCATTGCTGCCAGGAGATACCCCCACCAAATGATCCTATGGCCTTCGAGACACTGTTTAGAGGGTCATAGGATCCCTCTGTGAACTTACATTACAGTATGAGCTAGACAAACTTCTCTTCAAAATGCGTCCTGCTCCAGGGAAGGGAAGAGTTCAAGGCAAAGAATGAGAAAAGGACCACAAGCTCCACACTGAGGAGAACTTTTGTGGGGTGGCTCACATTCAAGTGAGAAACACCATGCAGGGTTGCATCTGCGTATGACAAAGAAAGCGCTACAAATCCTGCAACCCAGTAGTTTACTCCACCCTGAATAAATTACTTCTGGTAATTTTTCCTAGCTTTGCAGGCAGACATAGGAGCTAGGCCTGTGGCCAGCTACTGGCCATATGTGCTTCCATAGTCTTCAGGTTTCATAGCCAAAGCAGAAAATGACACGAGCTTGCAGACAGCGACCCAGCTCTCCATATGGTACCTCATTGCCATGGCAACTGAGCATCTCATAAGCACTAATGAATTTACTCCCACAGCAACACTGACATTGGGAAGGATTATGAGTTGCTCTCTGGGGCACCTCAGGAGGTCTGTGAGGATTTATTATGCCTCCTATAAAGGCACACTAACACCTGACCTTTCTCCCCAGAGGGCAAACGCAGGGTTAATTATGCTTATGGCACTATCTTATGGAAGAACGGCTGCACTATGCTCAATTCCCTCGCCTGCGAGTTATAAATATCAAAACAACCCAGTATGGCTGGAGTCAGTCTTCCCTTCCCCCAAGGAGGAAGCACACTATGGAGATGCTTGGTCAAAACCTTTTCCATAGTGTTATATTTGTACATCTGAATATTTTTGTGAATGAACACCGTGTGATCATATGCTTAGTCAGAATAACATTGGAGCATGAGAAGATGACTCAGGACACAAGATGACTCAGGATGACTCTTCCTGCCTACGTTCCTAGGGCCCAGCAATGGGTATTCAGACATGGACCACCTCTGCTGTTGGAGATAATCCATAGCCCTTGAGATTACTGTAGAGAGTGGGCCAGGCTCTCAACCACCACAGGCTGTGCAGAGGGCATCATCATCAGGTTCTGGAGGAGGTGGTGGAGGGGCAGGAGCAAGCAGGGGCTGAACCCTATAAAGCTCCTTCAAGGCTGCCTAGTGAAGTTTCTCATAATGAGCGTGAGAGTCAAGCTGTTTTGGAAGAGATGGAAGGGCTTTTAGGAGGGGAGTGGAAGCAGATGTGGGACCCAATCTCTGACACAGTAAGGAGGTGTTGGGAGAGACAAGCTACTCAGGTGGGGGAGGCCCACTGCGCTTGCCATCTTCTTCTCCAATGCTGAGAGCTCCCCTGAGGGTGCAGGCAGCAGCCTTGCTGAAAGGGAGGGACCGTGGGGAAGTTTCCAGTTTGGATTCAGCTTTTTCCATGATCAGAGGCTTCTCCTTCTAGCTTTGGTGGAAGGCTGTTCAGAGTTAACTGTTCTGTCTGCTGTAGAGTTTCAAAAAAGAAAGGATTGCAAAGGATTGCCTTGAGTTTTAGAACTCGGGGGAAGGAGGGAAAGGACTAGCTCGCAAGAACTACCTGATTCTCAGTGAATTTGCTTAATTCCCTCTGAAAGTCATCCAAGTTGGTGGCTGTCCAGTTCCCCTGACAGCCTCTGGGCAGCAGGCATCCCACCAGGCCTAGCAAGGAGGAGAAGTGATGGCCCACCTACATCTGTGAAGTGGGGAGACCTGTGACGACGCTTTCTCCTCGACCAGAATTGCCTCTACTCCGTTTGGCCATTATAACAGCTGTTGCTTTCCACCCTCTGCCTCCCAACCATTTTTCCTTTTATACTGCCACTTTTCAATAGTAAGCCTCAGAAAAGTGACAGTCTTATTATGGATCTTTATAAGCTACTCTGGGAGTCCTTTTTTTGGTGAAACAGTGGGGTAGGATACTTCAAATGAGTTAATAACCTGTAACATTACAACACCACCCTGGATTGATTATATGCTACAAGATAACAGAACCATACCGAGATTTTAAATTTGCCTAGAAGCCTAGTGATGCCTTTGTCAAGGAATAGATGCGGCTGCCTTGACGTTGATGATCCATCTAGTCCACTGACATGTTTCCAGTAAGGGCTAGCCAAATAGTTCTGAGAAACCCACATGGGCATGAAGGCAAAATATCCCCCACCAGCCCCCACGCTGTGTCACTAGCCTCTAGCACTCAGGGAGCTAGGAGCACCTCTGCCGTGGGCTCACATAATTCCGGATTTATCCAAGTCTGCTGCAGGGTTACAAAAGCAGATGAGCTTTCCCAGATCATGCAGAGTCCACAGCCTGATTTTTAAAGGTTTGCATATTTTTGCACATTTAGATGCAGAAAATGTATGCAAAATAAAGGAAAACACCAATCAGAAATGCACGATTCTGCCCACCCTGCAGAATTAACGCACATAAATTAATTAACATTAATTTGTACATTTTTGGCTGATGTGCACATTTTGAGGAGTGTGCACAAAATTGCACAAAAGTGTCTGTGTGAATTCCAAGGCCACCAATCAGCAGATGGCAGAGCGAAAGCTACAAATCAGGAAATTACCAGTGGGATGGCTTTCTTTCCATTTGCACATTGTTAGGTCTGCTATCTCCAAACCTAGAAGATTCATCCAGCAGCCCACCACATAGCGATCAATAGAATCCCTTCCCTTCCCTTCCCTTCCCTTCCCTCCCCTCCCCTCCCCTCCCCTCCCCTCCCCTCCCCTCTTTTTATTGCTAGTGCCTGGCAACAGTGCAGGACCAGACCAATAGTGGATTAGGAGCAGTTGGAAGCTGGCTGAGTGTGACTTTAGGAGGAGGGGGTTCCTCTCCAACTTGGATAAAAATATGAGCTATAAAAGAATTTGGGAGCTGCAATGATTGCCTCACATTTAAAGCCCAGAAATAAACATCTTGGCAACTCACTAACATGATGCTATCTGTTGAGCCAGGATATGGGCAGCAGCACAAGCATGGAGAGACGGGGCGGCTGATCCTGATCCCTTTGCAAGACCAAACCCACACAGTCTCTCCTGCCACTTGCGCCACTTCTGGGCCCTGCTGCATGCTGAGCATCCTTTTTAGCTAAAGGTGGCATGTGAATGAACAGTGGTGGTTTGGAGCATGAATGGAGCATGTGACACTGGCTGTGGATGTTTCAGGGGCTTAGGAGGCCTTGTGATGCACTGTTACAGTTAGCAAGATCAAAATGGAATTAGCAGAATGTTGATTTTAGGACCCTAAATTAACATGCTCAACCTCAGACCCTCAAGCCAAATCTGGCCACCTGGAGTCCCAGTCCAGCCTGCCAGGATTTACCGGGCGACTTCCACCCCTTCCTCTGGCATCAGCCCCTTTCTCCTACTGCCAGTCATCAGGTGGATACCTGATATTTACGTTATTCTCTCCATTCTAAAAGGTTGTGATGTCTCCCCAAAGGCAGTGAGAGCTATAGGCTAAAACGGGGGGCATTTCCCATATTTTGGCCTTGACCATTTTGTGCTTAGTCCTGCTCCCTTTTGCTTTTGACCCTGCCCACCACCAGAGGAGGTTCATTTCTCCTGCCCGAAAGCCTCCACAGTAAGAAATGGTGCTTTACTTACCGCCTCCACTTCTGCCGGGTCATACCAGACGTTTATGTATGGATGCTGCAAGGCTTCATCCACGGATATCCGCTTGGCTGGGTCAATCACTAGCATCTTCGACAAAAGGTCCCTGGCTTGGCTAGCTGGAGCAATGAAGCCAAAACAGAAAATGAGTGTTTCTGCAAGGAAGGGATGGAGGAAGACACTTCTTATAAGGACAACTTCAGAGCAGAGAAGGCCAGGCAATGCACTTTCACGGGTTTCTACAAATCTCCGGTTGCTTCCCCAACAATTGGTAAGAGCTAGCACAGCCTTCCTCAGCCTGGTGAGCTGAGAGACAAGCCTGAAATGAGTACTGCAGCTAGACCTTCTTGTAGAATACAATAGAGATTTGCAGATGAAACCTCTAGTTTTCTATTACAAGACTATACTAGAAGATTCTGTTGCTTTCCTCTTGGTGTCAAACTCTCCAGGTCTAGTAGACCTTCAGTCCGTCATGCCCACTGTTCTCTACACTAACTACTGACAGCTCCCTAGGATTTCAGACAGGGGGTTTTCTATGGCCCTTCCCTAAGATCCTGGGGATTGAACCATGGACCTTCTGCATTCAAAGCCATGTGCCCTCCCGCAGGGCCTCCCGCAGTCCTTCATTGCATCAACACTGTGTAATCCACTGCAGCCAAGAAAGGGATTCCTCAGCGCCTCAGGTGGGGAAGCAACTGGCATGGGCATGCCCTACGTATCTGGCACAGGGGTAAGCACATACATGGATGCCCCTGTGTGTGCACACCTCTAAGTCATGCCAGAACAGGGAGGGGTGCGTGTGACACTGATGCACAACGATGCATGCAACAACAGTGGCCAGGTCACAGGCCTTGAACTGAATCTGACCCAGGCCCATTTTTTCCTTTGCAGTTCTCCCTTCCTGAACCAAATCTTAAGCCTGTTTACACAGAAAATGAGGCTACTTTGCATTTTAAACAGGTGTAGTCAGAATCACAGAATGTATGTATGTATGTATGTATGTATGTATGTATGTATGTACAGTGCTTTTTTTTGTTATAGAACACACCACAACAGAGTTCCGGCACCTTTTTTTGATGGATTTTCCAAGTTTTAAAAGTAACTTTTGAAAATTTGATGTTTGGTCCACATCAATTTGAATCGCCAAATTCAATTGAATTTGACTCGGCAAAATCATTAAAGCAGAGCATGTGGGCTGCTTGTGTGTCGAGTCCGATGCATGCGTACTTCGTCTGCGCTGGTTGTGATGGTGGTGCAGCGCTTGTGGTGCTGCTTGGCTTGTGTTTGGTTGTGTGGTCATGCGCTGAGTGCTTACTGCGGGCGGCCACCGTTATGTTTCGTTGCACAACTGATGTGTGTGGGTGTGTGTACAGTGATTGACTACATGCGAAAGGTAAATAATTTATTTTAAAAAAAGTTGGTGAATTGAAAATCTTTTTTTAATTTTTAGTGTAAAAGTGTGACCCCAAATTTAAAAATGAAAAAAAAAAAAAACTAATTACTTCTCAACCACCGGTCCTGCTAATAAAAAGGCCAGAATATTAACAGACACAACAGAACACATAGATACTAACAGCAGGGAAAGGAGTCGAGAAGACTTGTTGGACGAGAATGGGACAAAACTTTGGAATTTACTATGAACATTTGCCTTAAATACAATAAATTAAATGCATGTTAAGAACTGAATATATAATTTTTTAAATAAAAGATTAACAAGATGTGAGTTCCAGCACTGTTTTTCTTGCAAAAAAAGCACTGTGTATGTATATATGTATTTTTGTGCAAATTGTTCAACCTGATGCATTCACTGACACAAGCACGGATGCATGCCTCACTTGACTAAGGCATGCCTGTTTGTTTGTTAAACATAGGCAATGTTTTGCACATGTTTCAAGGTGTGTATGTGGTCAACAACACTTTTTTCTTTCTGTTATGGAACGTACTGGAAGCTGTACAAATTTCCAACTACAACTTGTACGAAGCTGAAGATCACATAAACTCTTATACAGAATAAGAAAAAAACCCTTAATGAGGTTTCTTTTTTGACCATTTCTAAAGCTTAATGCAAACCTTTATAATAAAGACCCAGAAAAAAATGGACAGCAGCAATCTACATCGGCACTGGAAAACTCTTGGTCAGTCTTACTACCTCCAAAATGCCACCTCCAAACTGACAAAGACCACAAAACAGTCGTGCTTTTCATATCACACCAGGTGCATTAATATAAATGAAGAATTTATGAAGAATCAGGACGCACTGTTCCAAGTAATATTTAAACACATCTCTAGGGATTGCATCTTCCACAGATGCTTGATTACTAGACGAATGATCAATAAATCCAATCATAGCTGAGTCAGAAACAGGAATGCATAATTCAGAATCACAAGAAAGAGTTCCATATCCCTGGGAAGCCAAAACTAGACTAGATATATTGGCTACCAATGAGCTTTTAGGTTTAAATGAGAGTCTTGATAAAAGCAGGTACCTCTGCCTTCTCACTCCAGCCCACAGTTTCAGACCAAGTTACAGATTACTTCTGATATAGCAGTTCCTGCAGTGTTGTTATGACCATCTTCACATAGTCTAGGGTTGGGGGGTGCCACTGGATGCACTGGGCCTGAGCTGTAAAAATCAGGGCCTGGCTCTCTAGCCTGGGAAAGCATTAGGCCTTACTTGGCAGAAGTAGAAACACTGCCCTAGTTACCTCTTGCTTAGCTCGCTAGTTGTTGCTTGCCGAAGACCCTGGGAAAGATGGCCAAAGGACTAAACAGCCGCTGCGTTTGGCCTGGGATCCCACCTTACCAGACCAATTAATGAGCTTCTGCTTGGTGTTATGCTTAGCTTAATGAGCTTGTGCCTTGTACAATGCTTAGTTCACTTGCGTATGTGCTTGCATTTGAGAGAATCCTGACAGACATTGATGGAAAGCCTTGACCTGTGGTTGGCTAACAAGGATGGGGAACTTCACGTCCCACAGAATAGTGATGGGAAGCCGCATATATGTACATTTGGGCTTGCTAACAAGGTAAACAGGTAGTTGTGCACTGCTTAGTCCTTGCCCCTTAATCGCCAGCCCCTTTCCCATGCATAGTCTATGAAGGCTAGCCATTTTCCCATGGGCAAGGTTGTTTGGACACCACCCATCCATCCTGACTGGAGCCCTCAGCAGGTAGGTTCCCACAGAGAAGTGCAAGTGCCTTGCTAGCTAAACCCTTTGAAATGGTAGCTTTCCAGAGAAATTTGCTTGTCTTTTCAATAAAGTAAATCTGAACTGAGCTTACTGATCCCTTGGGATTGCTCAAACCTGTAGCTCAAAGTTGGGCTGAAACAGCCTATGACTTCCATCATCCTTCATCTCTGCCTAGGCTGGCTTGGGCTAATGGGAGCTGTACACCAGACCATCTGAGACCACCAGTTGCTCACCTGTGTTCTGCGAGGAATCGAATATATTGCCATCCAATGTGATTCATAGTTTGGTAGCAACAAAGCAGAAAAGGACCTTCTCCTTGGTGGCACAGACTGAATCGAAAACCTGTTTCAGGTCCCAGTTAAACACCTATCTTTTCACCCCAGACAGATTATGCCCACGTGTGTTGATTGCTAATTCTGTAATTGTAAATTTCTTAACTGAGAATGGCAAGAGGTTTTTTGCAGGAAGGGGTTAAAAGTTTTAACTGGGGTGTTAATGCTGGTAATTGGAAGACATATAAATTTCATAAATAAATGAATAAATAAATAAACGTTTTGTATTTTTTGCCTTCAAATGGTTTAACGCTTGCCATTAAGTATTTCAAGTCTTTATGTAGTAAACCACTTCTGAGATGTCTTTTTAGCTATAGTCACGTGGTCTAAGAATGACTGATTAATTAAAATGCTGTTCCCAGAATTAGAAGGAGAGCAGAATAATATCTGCATTGGACAGCAAACCTGCCTGGGGTCTCACCAGCCTAAATTCATCCTCTTTGCAGAGGTGTAAGTGCTTCCCAGTTAGAAAAACTGTGGAACAGGAAGCAAATTAGGCAGTGGCTCCACTGTTTACTGTTCCCATCCCCAGTGAATCAGCAGACCTATAGGAGCAGCAAGGAAACATGGCACCTGGCCAGCACACACCAACCCGTATGCCAGAAAGTGCGCGATTAATCCCCCGATGAAAACTCATTTGGATGACTGACAGGCGGAAGAACACAGCATCGTTCTGGTTCAAAATCAACTCTCCTGCATCTGTCAGTCCAAACACGCACACAAAGGCACCACAAGCAAGCAAAAGAGTCCTTCTCTTTTCCTCGCAATCCATAAATTAACCAGCAAACTATTATTGATGTTGCCGTTGTTGTTCCATTGCTAAGTGCTTCATGCCTAACAGTCATTGTCGTCTCCTCCTCCTCCTCTCTTCTTCGCCATCCCCTCCTCCTCTTCCTCTTCCTCCTCCTCTTCCTTCTTTTTTACTATTACATGTAATTCCTTATTCAAAGTACAAAACCTCCCATTGTTCCTTGTCCACAGCATGTTTCTAAAGGATCAGCAAAACAATATGAACACTGGCAGCAAAAAATATTCTGACTGTGTGCTTTGTCTTCCAAGAACAATAGAGCATTTGTAGCCATGCACAGTCATTCTAGATTATCATCTTCTGTTTCTGTATTTACAAAATCAAATGCAGGTTAGAAGTGCCACATGTAAGCATTTGCTGAAGGAAGGCTGGGGGGAGACGCCACCCACTCTCCTCCTCTTCTGTCTGTCTCTGAAGCAGAGATTTACATACTAATTTAACTGCTGCAATCGAAGCTTAACTGAAACATGACAGCACCCCCCCCCCCTCAATTCAGACTGCATGGCTAGTGCCAGTTTCCTGCTCTGTGCTCCCCAGAGATAAACTCCGTCCTGCTCCTCAAGGCTGGCTTTTCAAGTGGCACAGGAAACTGAGGGTTCTCCCCAGCGGTCTGCTTTAGGATGCCAGCATTCAGCTGTGGAACACTTGAAGGATGCCTCTGACCACATATAGAGTACATTTCACTCCTTTCATAGAGACCACAGCCAATGGGCACCTTCCATGCAAAGCTGACCCTTTACCCCTCCCCCTGCACATGTTGGTTTAGATTAGGCACTCCCCCCACGGACACTGTGCCCTTTCCTGGTGCCCCCCCCCCCATGCCGATCCCTCCTGCTGCTTTCCCCCTCTCTCCTTTTTAATAACAATTCTCTTCCGGGCTGCTTGATGGCTTCAAAGCAAAGTGAGGGTGTTCGGCTCCTCCCATATTCTTTTCTCACTAATGACTCAGCCTGTGCCTGGAGCTCAGAGATATTCTAAGGAAATTCTAAGGACTTGGAGATTACTATGTTAATATCCTTATCTCATTGCATGCATACTCTGCAAGCATCTCTGTAAGGTGGTTCACATGCTTTTCTTCCTCTCCGTTTTATCCTCAGGTCCACAATCCAGGTGAGGCTCTAAATCCATGCCTGGCCCAGAGTCCCCGAGGGCACTTCATAGCTGAGTGGGAACTAGAGTGGGAACATCTCCCAAGTCCGCAGTGCAGTGGCCTAGCCCTGAGGCCACCTTGGCTAAGAGGGAATGACAGGCCAGTGCTTTCATTTGCAGAGTGCCCATTTTGTGGGCCAAGTGTGGCCATGGATCCCAGCAGGGTGCCTACTCCTAAAGAAGGCCGACCACTGAAATTACAAAATCGGTGTTGTGCAAAAGTGAACAACAAGGAATGCCCAAAGGAATGGACTGGATCTCTGGATGGCTAGTTGGAAATTCAGTGGACCTCTGGCCATTTGAGGGAGCCATTTCTTCTGAGAAGCCATTCCCTGAGATGAGCTTGAAGCATGACTCTTGAAGATGACACCACCATCAGATTTCTGTGGGTTCCACAGCTTCTTCCATATATGTTTAGTCTTGTTACTTTGTTCAAGTGTCAAATTACAGAAATTGGAAAATAAATTAATCATCATCATCATCAGGAGGCATCATTCATCCAAAAGAAGCAGGTGATCTTTCGCATGTAGCAATGGTAGATGGGCAGGATGATATGCAATAGATAAACAATTTGCACACATGTGCTAATTCACACTAGCATTAAAGTGCATTAGTGCGATAACACAAGTCAGCACTGGTGCTGATGTACATCAGAGCTCATGTGAATGAGTATGAAGAACACTAAAACATCTGGTTAAAAATGTCTGACTGTATCAATGAGCAGGTGACAGAAGAAAAGATACTTAATGATGTGCAGACCCAGACAGAATGGATTTAACGACATCTGTGCATCCCTACGCCCCGTTGCATGCCCAAGAGCTGCTGGGTGAGCTGCACAGGCGTGGCTATGCTGGTGAGGATGGGATGATGGGATGACGTCTCTGTGGATTCTCTTCCCGGACAAAACTGTAGGAAGAATCTGGGAGGGTTGATGACCATAGAGGCCTCCAAGGACACATGCAGCCAACTGGCCACAGACTTCTCAAATGTGACCTGAAACAAATTAAAGTCTGGCAGTTTTGGTTTAACCCTCGAATTTGCACTGAGTTGTGTTGCCGTGTTATGCGAGTCCCTGTCAGTCCCTGTCCCTGACCAGACCTGCCTTCTGAACTTATATAAGCAAAGCACACACTAAATTTGGTGTTTTAATGGTATTTTAAACACCCCTTTACCTATGAGCAACAGAAACAATAAGTGACTTTGTTAAATACTGTACTTCAGATCACTGATGGACTGGGGAAATAGTAGTTCTTTCTAGGAAGAAGTGAACATAAGGAACTTTGCAATCCAAGAGGAGTTCTGTAAATATCTTCTGTCAAAATATCACCTTCTGCTACAGAAGGAGGCAGTGATGGTTTGCAGGATGTCAAACACCTTCTTAAACAGTAGGGGGCTTGGGGCCGTGTTGTCAAGAGAGACGGAGTATTTTTAGGAACTAGATTGGCACAGGAAATCAGAATTTGGAAAAAGCCATATTTGCATGCCTGGGAAAATATGTTTACAGCCTTCATCCAGGGAGCAAAAAAGCCACTTAATTATCATTCACTCTGCATCTGCTTGAAATCCCTTGTCAGTCCATTATTCCATTTCATCATTGGCATGGTGTGACATGAGGGAGGGGGGATTATGGAAAGGGTTCAGTTCTTCTCCAAACCATTTGACCAGACTAAATCACCCCCCAGAGTGCAGACAAACAGCCTTGCTATATGACGGGGAAAAGGCATTCTGGGTAATGACATGCAAATTGCAGCAGATTAAAAAAACATGCATCACCACTGCGAGCAACCTTGGAAACCCATGTGTGCAAAACTGATACACATTTCAAGTTTTTGGAGGGTTCAAGCGCTATCATTGGAAGCCTCTTCTATACGGCATCCATCGTCCATCCATCATTCCTTTCAGGGGAGCCTTGCCATCCTGTCGTGGACAATCATGGACCCCATTTATGTTGAAAATCATCTCGCGGCTTGTCGGTGCAGACAAAGGCAAGATCTCATCCAGCCCAGTCAAGGCAGCATTTGGCTTCCTGTTTCAGAGCTTGGCTGCTAATGTTGGATGTGGCACTAGGTGCTTCCTTAAGCGATTTTCACCAGCAGCCCTTGCAATTTAATTATTTTTAGCAAAGTTTCATTGATGGCCTCGCTGAACCGAAATCATTTTGCCTCAAAGAAAAATCAGCCCCTTCTCCATGTGCACAAAACAGTGCGCCAAGCGCTCTCCCAAGAACTCAGCCCTCTGACAACAGGAAGCCTGCTGAGATGTGGAGTCCGTGGTCGCAGCACCTTCCATGTGAAAGGAGAGGGCGCGATAAGGACATGTTTCAAAGCAAATGTACTGAGTCCTAATGCCCAGATTGAAGTGTAGATAGCAATGGAATTATTAATAGGAGTTCACCTTTCTTCAAATTCTGTAACACAGTTCTTGGCTCACTGAACATACCAAAATGCACTTTTTAAGACAGAATACATTTAGAAATCCTAGGAGGGGGTGTAGCTTAATAGTGGAGCACCTTTACCTGCAGAAGTTCTCAGGCTCAATTACCAGCATCTCCAGGCAGGGCTGGAAAAAATTACTGCTTAGAATCCTGAAAAGTTGCTGCCAGTCAGTGAGTTAGATTGCAGGACTCAACAGCCCATAATAGGTTTAACCATGAGGTTTAACCAGTTAACCAGGAGGCGATGTGGCATGTGGCAGTCTCTTTATGAACGTGCAAGCCCCAGGTGGGGGTTTCCATGGCTCGTTGCATCTTCTGAACCTGGGCTGCAGAGTTTATTTCAGGGTTGAACAACCCTAGCATAGCCTGAAGCTGGCCATGGGTTGTTTAATCCTTTAGTTCCTGATGCCTAGATTGCTGCCAGGGCAAGAAAAAATGGCTTTTCTGCTCCTGTGCCTTTCACAGAGACCCGCTAGCCAGAAATCACTGTGTGAAGTGTTTCATGGCAATGAGGTAAACATTATTACAAATTCCGAATCCAGGTGTGGTAAAAAGTTGACAGCACTACCTCCAGCACATGGAAGACTGCTGGCACCTTTCCAGCATGATGGTGCAGCTGTGACTTTTTTTAGTAGTATGGAACAACCCCCCCGCCCCTAATCCCAGCCCATCAAATCTGACCAATGCTATTTATTTATATTTATCTCCCACCGTTTTCTCCTTCCAAGGAATTCAAGGCAGTATACATCATTCTCCTCCTCTCACTCTTATCCTCACAACAACAACACTGCAAGGTCGGTTGGTCTGAGAGTCCTTGAGTCCGCCAGTTGGCTCCATGGCCGAGCAGGACCCAGATCTCCTGAGTCCTAACCCTGCACTCTAAACCACTACACCACAGCGGCTCTCAAAAAGCATCACTGCACAGGGTTTTCCTTAAAACACCAATGAATCGCTTCTGGGCTGCTGGTAAGCATAAGTAAAGATGGTTAATGGAATATACAGAAGATTACCAAGGCTAATCTGGGATTTCCCAGGCTGTGGGCTAAAACCTGGTGCTCCCGGATGTTTTACTCTGCAGCTTCCAGCATGCCTGACCATGGACCATGCTGGCAGGAACTGATGAGAGATGAAGTCCTCAAACTCAGGAAGACTTGCGGAAGTCTAATCTAACAGCGCATGATGGTGCAGCAACATGTTGCATGTCACAGTGTTATCACGCCAAGTACAATAGGTCTCAATCTGATCAGTGTTAGCATGGCTGACTTTTGCTCCATGAGTTCTATGATGGAAGAAAAGTGGGATATAAATGTAATAAATATATTTCTCATGGAAGGCATATCTGATCTCATTGTACTTGATCATGGATGACTCACACACCTTCTTCCTCTTACCTTTGAGTTTGTTGTGTTCTGAATCAGCTGGAAAGAGAGAATCTGGAAAAAGTTTGGGGAATGTGAGGCCAGCATATTTAGGTCGGTTTTCCACATAGTTCCGCACTGTAGGCTGAAGTTTCTTCATGAATTCCGGACATGGTGTTCCCAGCTGTTCGATTACTTTATTCCACTGGTCAATATCTGAGCAGAGAAAGTTAAGGAAAGAAGAGATACAGAATTCCCAACCCTTCCCCCACTCTTAACCATTTCAAGATGTTTTATCATGTCATTCCCATATGACGTGATTGGCAGGTTGGGCAGCTAGAGAGGACCAGCAAGGTTTGAGTAATGAGAAGCTTACACTCAGTGGTTACACAGCAATTTTACATGAAAGCAAATTCATCTGCAGTTCAAATAGGCCCTATGACTTTAATAAAAGCATAATTCAGCATCATTGATTTGGATAGTGTTATGGTCCAAGTCATATGCTAACTTTGATGTTGGGGAGTCACCACGGAGCTGCTTACTCCACCCCGATCGGATCCTAATTCCTGCCACATTACTAGCTTATAGGTGCTTTGATCCCATGGGCATCCCAAGCATGTGGAGTCCTTGTCATGCCAGTATCAATAAACCTGTTGAAGGGGGAACATTGATACCCACATATTTGGACTATCCTTGCAAGTATAAGGAGATGGGGAGGGAGGCAGCCAGCAATGGGGCTGAAGCTTTACAGCAACGACCTCACCACAAAGTCAGCATGAACTTTTTCTGAAAAAGTGTCATGCTGCAGTACCACTTTGGTAAGTGGATTTCATAGTGGGGAATCTAAATTCTCAAGGCCTATTATTTCAACTGGATATTGCCTGCTTGCAGCTATGCACAAAGGACCCAAGAAACGCAGTGGGACTAGATTATATGAACAAGTCAGAAAAATGTATTGCTTGGCCTGTTCATCAGAACTGTAGCTTTGTGCCAGATTCCAGAGGGATAAAAATAGTGAGGCCTTTTTGCAAAACTTCTCTGCAGAAGTAATTTTACCTTTCCTTTTGCTCCCCATTTGTCATGAGACTTCCTGCATTATTTGGAAGTTCACATTCTTCCAGGAGGGAAGAAGCTGCTACCTGAGGGAAGAAGCTTCCACAGAATCAGCCCAGATGGGTGAAGACACAACTCATTGGTACACATGAATGCTTGCACATGTATTGACTCTGTTAATTATGTGTAGCAACTGCTGTTGAAGGTGGGAAGATTGCATCCACTAGTTCCACAGTTTGCAAGCTAAACCCAAATGCTTCTGCTTCATCTTCTTGATGCAATAGGATATGCAGCATCCTTAGGAAAGGAAATGAACAGTCATGATTGCTTTTCAGTGAAAGATAATTGCAAGTATACCTGTGCTGAACTATCAATGGCTATAAACTACCTCCAGGGTCAGTGGCATCATGCCCTTGAATATCTCCTTCTGGAGAACACTAGCAGAAGAATGTTATTGCTGAAACAGAGCAGATTCCTTAAGAAAGGCAGCCTCATTCAGTAGTAGCTAATCAGCTTAGAGGGAACCAAAACCATACTTAATGCTCTTTCATGATCTGCTTGTTGGAGTGATACACAGGCAGAAATGACTGGCTCGTAGGTCCAGCATCACTCAGAGCTCTCTGTAGTGCTATCCTATTTCCTGTCCTTCTGGGAAACCAGACCTTGCTTGACGAGCATCCTCTGACTGTGTCTTTCCAGAAGCCCTTGCTGCTCCCCACCCCCTTTTGTGCTTCTGACTCAGTGGTTTTCAAATGTGAATTCTAGAGGACCGGGTCATGCATTCCTTCCCAACTCCAACAACCGGCATTTAGTGACTGGGAAGTGGAAGCCTGGACCCTAGCAGCTGACCCTAACAACAGGAAATATTAAGGTACCCTTGCAAATCACCCACAAAGGCAAAAGGTGATTTACCAGGGAAATGTGCCAGACAAAAATGGAAACATCCCTGAACCATATGATGCACGCAGAAGGGGAGAAATATCCAAGAACTGATGAAACATAAATGGAGTTGCTAGAGCTGATTGGCAGTAGATCATCCAGGACCAGACCTCAAGGTGCAGTTCTGGGGTCCTGGTGTTCCAACAGTCTCCAGTTCCCAATGTCTTCTTCTCCCTCTTTTTGCTCTTAACGTGGCCTTAATTACCAGCTTGCCTGGCTGGGTGCAAAAGGAATCAGTGTGACGGTCAGCCAAAGGAGCCTGCACTGCAATGCACCACTTAGGATAACTTGCGCTTTGAGTTGCAGCACTCTGAACCACTCAGATTGGCAAACATGACCGATGAGGGCCCAGGAGTGGCATAAAGGTGGCCTGGTTGCCTTTCCTGTGCCCTCATTGGCCATCTCTCCCCAGGAGCAGCATCTGACTGGTTCAGATTGCTGCATTTAAGTTATTTCAAAGTACCACCCCTTGATGCCTGCCCCAGGCCTGTCTTTTGCCACCATGGGGCTGGCCAATCAAGAAAGGAGCAGCGAGTGCATAAGCTGCTACCACGGCCTCCACCTCCATTCAGAGGAAGGTGGGGAGGCTGCTTGGTGGCAACGGTGGCTGGCAGAGCGGGGCGGAGGGGTCAGAGGTGGCACTGGCAGGGGACATAGGTGAGGAAAACCCATGCCATGCCTGCCCCACAATTAAACTCACTGCAGCCCTATGGATCGGACAGGGGAAAACTGTCAGGTAAGGATATCCCTTAGTCCTTGCCAAAGGTCTGCATGTTGGGAAAGTACTAGAAGAGGAAAGTAATCCCGCAATGGGCAACAGCAATGGGGCCACCCCCAGGCCCACTGCGCAGCAGGGAGCCCACTGCTGTTCTCAGGCGCTTCCTGAACCCAATACTCCTGCCCTGGAGGGCAGCCTGAAATATTTTTAATAAAATACAGATGAATAATTTTTCCTCCCTAAAGTTGCTGTCTGCTTGCTTGTCCTCTCCAAGCAACAGGAGGAAGGAGGGGAGCAACCATCTGTACTCCTCCTGACCTCTCCTTGTGGGCAGAATGGGGCAGGAGACGGACAGGCAGTCCACAGTGACCATGGGAAGGAGGTCAAGAAGGCCCTTAGAGAGCCTCTGGCCTCACAGGCCCCAAACCTCTGGAACTGGCAAGGTGCTACTCCATGACTCACTGGAAGCACCACATTGGAAGTCACTGAAATGACTGTCCAAAGTGTTGGGTTTGCTTCTCTCTCTCTCTCTCTCTCTCTCTCTCTCTCTCTCTTCTTTCCGTCCTTTCTTCCTTCCTTTGCCATAACTAACCCCCTTACTTCCACAGCACTTTCTGCTTAATACAAAGAAGCCTACCTTCTGCTGAATTTATACAGTCCCTAAATTCTAATTATTATCACAAGAGTAAGGTGAGATGATACTTTGGAATCCCTGCTTCCAACCACATAAAAAGTGCCTACCATGTTAATCAGGCAACACTTTCAGTTTAGTTGAAACATGCGGACAATATTATGTGGGAACAAGGACAGAGAGAGGAAATCTACTGAGAGTTCCCTCTCCATGATCATCCCATGGTGGAGATATTAAACTCAGCGGATACCTTTGACTGGGCATGCCTTCTGCCAGGGCAACCATGTTCAAGGACTGAGATTATGACATGCAGAGCTGAAAGCATGGCAGACACACTGGGTGAAAAATACAGAACCATCCTAAAGTCCTGTGATTGTATGGAGTTCAGAGGCAAGATATGCTAAGATCAGGCAGAGGAATGAAATGTTTTAAAAAGAAATTGGTATAAGTGAATTTCTTTTAAAGCAGCCTTTCCTAACCAGATATGGTATATTTCAACTCCTAGCAACTCCAACCCTTGTGGCCAATGGCCAGGGAGACTTGGAATTGTAGTCCAAAACACCAGGAAGGCACTGGGTTGAGGCAAGTGGTTCCAAAGCATGCTAGCACAAGGGGCAGTATCAACCGTACAATTGTGCCCACACTAATCAGTTTCACTCTGTGTGGAATTCACTGCTGTATTATTGTAAAGATCCCTGGTTTTGTCACACAGGATCATCACTGTGCTTTGTGGTGTCCATTGTGTTGTATGGTCAGAAATCAACAGCATACACACTCACACAGAGAAAGGTACAAATGCAATAGTTTTGGGGTCATTCCAGCTTGGGGTTTCTAGTTTCCTAAAGCTGCTACGAACACATATCTAGCAGCCTCTGTGCTAGAACCTATGTGTGGAATCAGAAATATGATGCAACATCATTGCAAGCAGTGCTCAAATTAATGGGGAGGCAGGGAGAAGGTTGCTAGAAATTGAATGAAATTCACAGTCCCCAGCCTTATTTCTTTCTAATTTCAGCCAAATCATGCTCCTTTCCCATTTAGGCTTCTATAAACAGAGGCTAAAGGGCTCATCACAAAAGGTTTCTCTACCCCACCCTCCTTCCTATATGCAACCAGGTATATTACATCAACTCAACATCATGTGTTAGTGATTCTGGATCACCAGAAGACACGGTCACAGTGTGACGGCATCCTTAGAAAGTCATCAGAAATAGGCAGAGTGAAAACATGGTTAGAGGCAGAACAGGAGTAGGAACAGAGTTTACAATGTGCCATCATAAAAGGAATTTGACCCCAGTGGAATCAACAATAAACAATTGTTTATTTCTCCAAACAATAGAGGAGTAAATATTCACATCCAATATATTTGAGTCAACAGTTATAATAGAAATGGACTGGCTGGATGGCTTTGCCTGCCCCCTCCCTCCCCGTGCCTCCCACATGGTGCCTTCCAGGCAACGCTTGACGTATTTGCTCTATCTGCTTAGGGGTCAAATCTGAAGGTAACCTTTCAGTTTCAAGATTTATTGGGATTCCACTCCAAAACTATCTTTAATTCCAGGTCACTGCTTACATTTCTTTTGATTCCTTTATGAACGTGAAATAATTTCAAATAAAAAAGCAAGTTTTAATCATTCTATAAGAGAGTAGAAATATTGTGCATGAACTTTTGATTCAAACATGTGACAAAAAAAGACAGCACGAACCAAGTGGCCATATTTTAGGGCCAAACTAGATAGTCTGGCAGCAGATCCATGTGTTTAATACTTGGTTTCCCCCAGCTGAAGTACGACTTGAGGCAAATGGGGGAGGAGAATGAATTCTCCCCCTACCCAGCTTCTCTTTCTCTCAAGCACATTGTGAAAGGTGATCCTG